GCCCACCTGGGGCTAGTCGAAGGTTTTGGGAAGCTGGAGGAGCCCTCCAGATCTTGCCAGGTTTGAACCCCCACGAGTAAACGGGCTCCCCACAAATAAATCATCTGCTTCGGTGCCCAGAAGGACCCTGGGGGGAGCGAGGGGGATGCGGGGTTTGGTGTGATCCTGTGTTCAGGTGTACCTGCCCTCTTCTCGCTGCCTCAGCTTTCCTGGTCATTTGTGCCTGAAATAAGCTCGCTGCCCAGCCGATAGGCAAACGCTTTCTTCTGCTTCAGTTGCGGTCTGTATTTTCTCCTCCGAAGGGAACTCTCTTGAAGCTTGTTTTGAATGGAAGGAGTCCAGGTTTGGAGTGGTGGGGTTTTGTTTCATCTGTTCTTCTGGCTGTCAACCCAGCCCCTTTGGGCCGTGAGGGTCCGCAAGAGAAGAAGGCAGGACTGTGTCAAGGGCAGATCGATCGGCGTGGTTGGAGTTATTACTGCGACCTCCTCACTACTGCCTTGCTCTGTCCTTACTCCTGGGTTACTGCTAGCTGTGTGCTAGTCGGTGCTGGGTGCTCGTGGATGGAAGGATGTGTTCAGATACGAGTTACCTGGCAAGAGCTTCAAACCCTGGTGCATTGCTGTGTTTGCAGCTCAGGTTATGCTGGGCCCAGAAGTGCAGGTCAGATGGGGAGGGGGAGCTGGGGGGGGCCCTGGCTGGGTGGTTTGGGGTCAGGGTGGCACAGGGCACCTGTAATACTGCTCCAGTCGTGCACCCTGCGCAGGGTCGTGGGCTTATTGCAGCCCCGCTGCCTCCCGGTGCTTTCTGTGCTGTCCTAATCCATGTGTAATCTTTTCCCACAGACTCCTTCTAGCCCTTCCAGTCCTATCTCTCATGTGGTGTTAGTGGCGCTTAACAAATCCCTCCTGGGCACCCTCTTTTCTGAGCAACCTGCTGAAAATTCTCTGTTTTACCAATCTGGTGATTTTTATTTTTTTTTAATGCAGCCCAGCTCCTGAGGCCCTTTCTTTTCCAGGTATAAGCTAGCATATCATCTAAACTTTTATCAGCGCTGGCAATTTCAGTTCAGAAACTTAAAAAGAGACTTGGCATTTTTAGAAATCGCCTCAGACCCATGAATTTTAAGATCCTGCATTTAAAGCAAAAGAAAATTCTGCTTTCTGGAAGTAGAACAGGTTTGAGAATTAAATGTGGCTTTCAAATGCTTCAATTCCCACCTGCCCCTCCTCAGCTTTCTCACCACCGTTTGCTGGAGCTTGAGGAGCAGGGAGTGAATCTGCTGGGAAAGACAACTGAAGCGCACCCAGTTCTTTTCCCGTCCAAGTCCCCGAGCAAAGCCGTGTGGCTGGGGTGTAAAGATCCAACCAAACAAATCCGATTCAAGATCTGAGCCCATTTTACAAATTACCTCCTAAGTGGAGAGCAGTTGGCTGGAGTATTTAAACTTGCACTTGTAGTAAGGGTTTTGTTTTCATTTGGGGTAAGGTGGCCTACAGGATTTCTAATTGGAGCCAGGACTGTTTGCTGAATAAACATGGCTTTTAGGGATTGGTATGACTTTTAGCTTTTCAAGGCATCTTTAAAGCTCAAGGTGAAGTGTTACAGTCCATGGGATTTTAGCAAAGATGTGTAGCTACTCTCTCTGGGCTGCCAGTCTTCCCAGGACAGAGCCAACGTGAAGGAGCTGGTGCAGCTGAAACGCTTCCGCTG